ACTACTAAGAACATCAACGGGACGGAATTAATGTGAATAGGAAAACCCAACAAAACGAAATTTAAACAGTGAAAGTTTATTTCATAAGGTATATATAAATGTAGGTACACTCGCTGACAAAATGGTAGGAATCCTTTATGTGTGCTCTTGTATGTCCCCTGAGCGGTGAGAATATTTTCGCTAAGTGTTGAGCCAATCTGTAAGTTGGTGAATCGATTTGGCTCACTATGGGACGTAATGGAGCATTGGGCTTGTGTATTTTTGGTAACCCATACAACTTTGGTGATTTGGCGCACGTAGGTATTATCAATTTTACGTCCAGATTAAATTTTCCGTAGTGCTTCTTTATGAGGTCACTAGTTGTTTTTAGTGTGCTATTTGTTGGGTCGTTTTTAACCTTTTTATAAGTACTTACATCCGACAAAAGTTCTTGTATTTTAGAATTATAATCTGACGTATCCATGACTACTGTGGCGTTTCCCTTACCTGCGCGGAGAATCGTAAGTTCTGGTTTATTGCGTAGGTTCTTTAAGGCTATAAATTCGTCTTTGGGAAGATTCGGTTTAGGCACTGAACATCGACGTAACATAGACGAATTGTCTTGACGTATCCAAATCTTCTTTCCGCATATTGTTTTTAAATAAACAGTCCTCGACACTACAGACAATTTCTTCGTACGGTAATCTGCGTGGAGATATAGCATAATTGAGGCCTTTGGATAAAACCTTAATTGTTGCATCATCCATTCAATCATTGTGGTCTCTTCTACATAGGACAAACTAAAAGATCAATCAAAACCTGCGTTCAAGAACATGTAGCTGATGTGAAGAATCGACGCTCCGGGAAGTCTGCAGTCTGTGAATACGTACAGGATCGCCCCCGTCACTACATCAGATTTGATAGACCACAAATCCTCGCTAAAGAACACCGATTCCTTCCAAGGATGATTCGCGAGGCTGTTGAAATCATAAAACATCCTAATTTCAATAGAGAAGATGGCTGGGTGCTACTATCTGCTTGGGATCCTATAATAAATAAAATTAAATCCCAACCCAAGCATACAACTGCAAGATTTCATGATATCATAAGTTCATACTGTGTAGATCGGAACAAAAATTAAATTTTAATCTATGGTAACCGCGGTTAACTATGACAGCTGGACGTTGAACATCTCAGTCCTTCCCGTGACCGTGGGTGCTGTAAAGCTCTCGACACGTCGGGTATTTAAAAAGTTAAATATACGCGATAAATTCCGTAAAAACTAGTATTATTTCAATGTGTAGTGTTCGCGTAAATATAAGAAATCATTATGAAAACTTACCTCTAGAAAAATGATGGTCACGGTTTGGCTACCAAACGGAATGAGCATAACAGCAGATGTGTACTGTGAAGAAGTGAACACATGATGGAAAAGTGGACACGTGTCCAATCGGCTTTGGTTAATCGTTCGTCCCCGCTCCTCCTGCACGATTACGTGCGACCTCATAATGCACAATAGACGGTCTCCAAGTTTCAAGAGCTAGGGTTGGAACGATTTTTTTATTTAACGATTGTTGTTACGATTTCTGTGGTTTGGAAGCTCCTTGTGCCTACAAAGCAGAGTTCTACTTTTTTCAGTATTTAGATAATTTTTGGTGGGGAAAAATTCATTACCCCAGAGGCAGTACAAAATACCTTTGATGAATTTGTTGCCTCCTATCCAGCTGATTTCTTACACATCAATTACATGCGTGATTACTTTAGATTAAACAAAGTAATTAAAAAAAACGACGAAACAAGTTAATGTTTTGTAAAAAACGGTAGTTTCATAGGTGAAAGCCTGATATCTTGGCTTATCACTATTTAATGTAATCCTGCTTCTGTAACGTCAAAAACTTGCTTCCACGATGAATCTTAAAAAATTAGACCGGATCGTCTGTAAATATTATAAGCTCCCCTTTATTATATTTAATCTTGTAGCTAATATAATAAGGAACATATTATCAAGGAGAGCAGGGGCAAGTGTGCTCCTGCGGTACTCAATAAGTAAAGACAGCGAAAGAGCCCTTTTATTTTTCTAATCTGAAAAACAGTAAAGTAGTATACAAACCAATTTTGCTTTCCGTATTGCGAGGCACTGCTGCCTTTCCCTATACAGCCGAAATTCAGTTGATGGCAGAGCCATAGACCATACCGCTGATAGGGTCAAAAAGACTGGTGCTAAGGAGTGTTCATTTTTCCTTATCCTATGGTCGCCGTGTTTCGTCCTTAACTCGGTTGGGAGGGGGGCCGTTGAGCAGGTGAAGATGGAGTCCGCAAAAGAAGGTTTGCATTGCGTTCTGGTAAGCCTTACCTTAAAAAAAATCTCCGAACAACGAAAAGGATCCATGGTCCACCGGTCAGCAGTGAACTTTTAATATCTGTGAAGATGGAGAGCTTTATACTATTGATACTGTACAAATGACTCTGTATGGTTCTTGAAAAGATCCAAGAGAAAACATTTTACACTTCATATTTTAATTAATTAAAATTAGCACATTTAAATTGCAACAAATGTAGGGTCTGCTTAAAAGGTTTCGTGATTATTACATGTAACTATATTAAAACTGAGGAACACGTTACATTAGCTGTTTATTAAACATCATAACTTATTCTCTTATTTTCCTTTTATGACGGCATGAAAACAAAGTTTTCGTACAGAGTTTGCTAAAAGCATGACACGTGAAACGTGACTGTATTCTAGAATAAGATATAATTTTATGACAGCTTTACATATGTATGTTCTGAATCTGTAAAAGAACAAAAATATTTAATATACCATTTGTAGGTTTTACCAATGACTATTAATAAATGTTGGTTTTGGAAGTGAAAATAGGTATTATTACATAGGAAAGTATTTATGAAACATCCAATCATGTTACCGAATTTTTTAAAGAGTAAAAAGTAAAAAGTAAAAAGTAAAGTAAAATTACAGCCTATATACGTCCCACTGCTGGGCACAGGCCTCCCCTCATTTCTGAGAGGGTTTTAGGGCAAGGAAGTGTCAATGCGTGTTGGCGAACTTCACATGTCTTCGAAATATTTTTTTCTTATTCCTCAGACATGCAGGCTTCCTCACGATGTTTTTCCTTCACCGCCAAGCCCGTGGTAAATCAGCACTTAAAATTGCAATTAACAATTTCATTCGTGCCGGCGGAGATCGAACTAAAGTTGTTCAAAACGACTATAAATCAATAGCACGCTACAGACTATAAACTATAAACTTCTAACGCGCTATTAAATCCGCTATGTTATAGCGCGCTATGTATAAATATAAGCCACGCCTCCTACACGCTTTCTTATAATAATTTATGAGAAAGCGTGTAGGAGGCCAGAAAGGGCGTTAAGTTTAGCAGCACGCTATATCTCGGAGCACGCTACATTACGTGTCGTTCATTGGATAGACTGCGTGCTATATAAGAACATTATTTCGTAATAAGTCGCATTTTAGATTAAAATAAAATAAAGTGGTAAAGAGAAATCAACAAACGCTCTTTCATACTTTTCAGGCTTACTTACGACTTTCTATAATCCCAAAAATATTTTTCTAGGCATGTACTTCTAAAAAACAAAATAAAATTAGTCATTTTTTATTATAATTAATGTAAACGTTATTTTAACCTTAATATAAATTATAAATCAATTAAAGGTGTATTTAAAAGTTTATTGATTGTATATACAAAAATCAACTATTTACAAACACTATTATATACACTTATGTATCTATATTTTATTTACATTTAAAAAAATTAGTTAGGCTTCTTTTGTAGCAGACAACTGTGTCCTTCGATCACTTATAAATATACAGTATACAATAACTAAACAACGTCTAACACTAAATTAGTTCGCGCGCGAAGAATAGCGTGCGGCTAGATTAAATTTGAGTCACACGCGCTATTGGGAGTCTACTCCCAATAGCGCTGCTGCTAAAACTAATTGCCACTTGATATGAATAGCGCCAAAGCGTCATAGCGTCATAGCGCCATGGCGACTACTTACATAGGACGCGCTTTGCGTTATGGAGAGATAACGCGCTATAATATGGCGCTATGAGCTATATTAACCACCATTAGATCGAACCCGGGTTACTCGCGTTCTGTTATATTTACAGCGAGCGTTAACCATCTGAGCTATCACGGTTCTTAAAGTAGAATACAGTAAAATAAACAAATATTCTAAGCTTACTATTCATTATTTTATTTATCAGACTATTATCGGTACAAATTCAATATTTTTTGGTATTGACTCTATAGTTACAGAACTTCCTCCAATTGTCTCGTGATTTCTTTCTACGAATCAATATTGCATTTTCTAGTGACATTATCAGTTGTCACATTAGAAACATCGGTTTTTTTCTTACCCATAAACTTCTCCATAATAATCTCTTCTTGTATTTTATTCCTTACAGCGTTATTTAGGCAATTCCGTTTGTGACTCTTTCCCAACATTAATATCTTCTTTGTCATATTTGGTACGTAATATATTGTTCCGCATTTATCTGTGAATGCAAAAAAATCTCTCATGATATGCTCTATTCTTCATTGCCTAGATGAATTTTAAGCCCTCTGACCATACCAACCTTTAATTTTTTTTTAAATTTAAGTTTGAAATATCCCTATCGATTTAAAAGTTATTTTCCATCTTGATTGTCACGAGCTCGTCCAGTATTCGGTTAAATCTTTTTATCACACTCATTTTGTCTCGTAAATACTTCTAGACAACAAAAACGTACTTACTAAGCGAACGACTGTGTCGAACGGAGAGAGGTGACACTGCACACTGTCCGCGAGCACGATAATACGCCAAACACATCTAGACATGACTATTTTTCAACATTTTAAGTACTTGTCTTTAATTTAAAACTTAAGATTTAAAAGTTCAGACTTTAGCCATTAAGACTTAGTAAATCCTAGATTTTACTGGAAAATCTTAGGATTTACCGTATTTAGAGCTTTAACAGTAACATATAATACAAACTAGCTATGCCCGGCGAGCGTTGCAACACTCGTAATCGGATATATATAATATATTAACTCATTTTCAAAAAAAAAACGGCCACCAAAGATTCATACTAATTGTTAACATTAGATAATTTGGTAATTTTAGTTATACTCAGAATTTTGTAAATTAATTAGCAAGGAATATTATTGGTCAATTTATCATAACATTTTGATTAAGATAATGAGAATAATGTTAAAATTCTAAGCGCTAGTAGTGTAACTGGCTAGGTAGAAATAAAAATCGTTTATTTTTTGTTTTTCTTTCTTTAATAAAGTAAAATTAGATAAAAGTTAAGTACGGAGTGAGACCTCTTGCTGCAATCACAGCTTGATGCATTCGTCTGGGCATGCTAGCCAGTATATCTCTTATGGTGTCTAGCAAAATACGTTGCTCACTCCTCGGTACTCGCATTCTTTAGCTCTCTGGTGGTCTGCAGAGTCGCCTGCACTGATCTAATTCGTCGCTTCAGGACGCCCCAAATATGTTATATGGCATTTAGGTCGTAACTTTGAATGGGCCATTCCTTCACACAACAACAAACGACGAATTCCAACCTCTAAGCATATACTCTCTCTATACTCTAAGCACATACGCTTCTATATTGGCAGATCAGTGGAAGCGAGCGTTGTCGTCCACAAAAATTGACTATTCGCCTTTACATTGAGTTGCGCATGAGGAATTAGAACTTCCGTTATGTATCGGTGTTCAGTTGGTGTGCTGTTTTCGATGATAACTAACTTCGTACGATCCAACGAATTTATTCCTACCCAAAACATAACCCCCACCATAAGGTTCTTCAAAACATGTCTCTGCAAATCATTCTCTTCATCTTCATAGCACTATCCGACGTTGATCTTCACCGTACAAAAATATCCTGGATTCATCGGTAGAGAATAACCTATCCTAGTCTTCTTGAGTTCATGACACACAATTTTGAGTGAAGCTAAGCCTGACAATCCGGTACTCACCGAGTAATTTAGGGCCAAAGGTTGGGCTTTGACTGCATATATGGCAGCGAGAAGATTCACCCTGACCGTCAAGGTTGTTTTTGAGGTCTACATATGAAGATTTGCGATTTCCCAACGCTTGACTCGCCAGAAAACGATCATCCCGTAGTTCAGTACTTGGTTTTCTTCCAGAACCAGGTCTTCCCCTGGCGGGACCGGTCTCCTAATAGCGCTGCCAGGTCCTTTGTCGAAAGACTCATATTTAGCCTCTGAGTCATAAAGCATTGGCTGCAACCCTCCTCAAGCAGCGCAATAATTTTGCTGACTTTTATCACTTTATTTACCATTTTTGAGGCCTCTAAATAGCAACAACAATACTTAAAAATGTCAAAGAAATAAGACTATCAAATAAATATGGACTAAAAGTAATTTAGAGTCGATATTAACTTTCGGGAGTTCGCGTCACATAATATAGTATTAAATTTTTATTTATTTATTACACAAAAATACAGTCGGTTGTTCTTTATACAACTTTCGCCAAACTGCAGGGCAGTTTGTTGTTGAAGAGGTTGTTTTCTTTATAATTCAGCCTTAAGACAAAAAGAAACACACCCGTTTTTCACCTGACTATGTAAAAAAATAAATAAATCTTAAAATCCAGCTAATTGAATTGTAAATCTCAATGTTAAAAGAAACGCAGGAAAAAATATTTTTTTAATATTTCTTTAAGCTTATTCTACGTCAAGGGTAAACGTATTTTGAACGCATCTCAACTACCCTTATTCTAGGATTACGATCCAATTTTAAACACCCGACACTTTTGTAACCAGTCAGTAACATGTTCTAATTATTGAAACCTTTTTCGTATAAACCTCTGCGTTTTTTCGCAAATAAGTACATATTATAGTTTTTTCATTATATCTTCACTAGCGCACTTGGATTGCCACTTACGATCTGAGGAACTGAAGTTCAATAGTCACTGTTCACTTCGCATTACATATATACTGAAGATACAATTTGTAAAAAAAATCAACCATCAATTTCATTTGAAGCTATCGTTATACGTTCTGTTCACGGAACATAAATACATTTTTTTTTCAGTTGTAACGCTTATTGAATACTCTAAGTTAAAGTAAGTAAGGTAAAGTAAAATATAAAAAAAACTTAGGTATGCAAAACTTCCATAAAGTTGGCTTCTTCTAACGACTCTGATTCTAACCTCTCTAACTAATTAAAATTCGTCACCATCAGCAGCATTATTACATGCCTTCATAATTCAACAGCAGCACATAGGCCTCCCCTAAACAATGTTACAAAAACCTGTCTTGAGCCTCCTGCATTCAACAACTTACTGCATTTTTTCCAGGTTGTCACTCCATCTAGTGAGCGCCGCCCTACATTTCAGTAACCGGTAAGAGATTAACATTCGAGAACCCTTATTCCACATCGAGTGTCGGTTCTTTGATCTTTAATACTGGTCCATTGCCACTTCACGCTCACTGATCCATTGTTCTATTTCTGTTACTCTAGTTCTACTACGGATCCTCCAAGCGTTTTGAATTTCCAAGCTAAAAGTAATTTAAAATTCTAAATTTTATAGTCAAAGAATATTATATTATAAAGAATATATGTAATTTTATTAAAAAAGATATTCAGTGTATTAAAACACTTGAGTTTGCTCCTAAATTAAATCTCCTATCAAACATCCCGAATAATATTATTATTTCTTATTACTATTCCCTCAAACAAAACTGAAACTTAAACAATGAAATTTAAATTAAACGGTAATGTGACTCGCTGCTATATTGCATATTCTTTTGTTTTGATAACAAACATACTCTGAAAGCATGCTAAACTTTAAGTTTGAATACTCAAAGATGTTAAGCCTATGGTTTGATTTTCTTCCATAAAATATTTATTATTACAATTATATAGATATTTTCTAATTATAATCATCATGATCGTATTTTTCATACCTATGCAATACGAATGTTCGGAACGAAAATCGGTGAATACTTTAAAGACGAATAAAAAGAAAATCAGTAAGAGCAAGGCTTCGTGAGTTTGGTTAATTACGGAGAGCTTATAGTCGAAGGTCTTGTAATTATGATTCAATCCACTACAGAGCATGTACAACTTTACCGTTACAGCTTATTAAAGTCCACTGCTGAGCATAGGCCTCCACATCGATTCACATCCACAGTTTGCCTCAGAGGGGGAGGGGGGCGATATTTGCCAGAGTCGCCACGCTTAGCAAGCGGGTTAGCAACCGCAGTTTTTTTTATTTCAGTCGTTATTAGGAAGACTCTTGTGTCCATCTGCTGATTTTTCCCCTCTGTCACCTCTTACGATGCCCACAGGATGATATGGGGTAGTGGATATTCTTCTTACACCGCCACTTCACGGTGCCATCTTAGTCGATCAATCAACAATTCTGAAGCTTGTCTATCATCGTTAGCAATCGTTGATAGATCCCCTGTAGATTACTATATTACCGAATGCCGACAACAAATTTGTTTATTTACGTGTATTCCTTTTTTTATATAGAAGACGAGGCAAAAATTTTATGCAAAATTATTTATTAGTTCCATGTCTATCACATTTAGTGGATGTAGTGACGAGCTGGTAAGACATGCAGTTGATGGATGCAGGTGGCTCATAATCGTACTTTGTTGCATTCCGTGGGTGAGGCCTATGATCCGCCGTGGACTTGTGGAGGGGGTAACGATGATGATGATATCAGATTTAATATACGAGGGCGGCACTGAAAATTTAGGGAATCAGGAAGTGACACAACATTACTATTTCCGCGAAATTTGACACATTTTTCCATACGATGGAACCAATCATTGAAGCAACCATTCCATTCGGAAGTTGGGGTCTCCAAAATGGCCGTTTCGTAGGCGTCCACAGCTTCTTCAGGCGATGAAAATCTCTATCCACGCAATTTATTCTTTATTTTTTGCTTAGGTCGGGGCTATACGGCGGATGGTCTAATAATTCTATGTTTTCTTGCTCTAAAAACTCTTTTGTTCTGTGTGCGGTGTGAGAACTCGCATTGTCGTGATGGAGGATGATGCGGCGGTTGCAGTTCTCTTTACGGAGTTTAGAAACGACCTGTGGCAAACAAATGCTAACATACCATTCTGCATTAACCGCTCTTTGTCCCTCAAGAGGAATAGTCGTAACATGGCCGGTGGCGGTTGCAGTTCTCTTTACGGAGTTCAGAAACGACCTGTGGCAAACAAATCCTTGCATACCATTCTGCATTAACCGTTCTTTGTCCCTCAAAAGGAATAGTCGTAACATGGCCGGTTTTGGAGACAAACGTGGCCACCATTTTTTTGCAACACTCCGTGAACGAACAATTTTTGTTGGCTTTAACTCATTTTCGAACACCCAAACTCGTGACTGGTTTTTTGTTACGATATTGTATACAGCATTTGAGGATCCTGCGTGGAATCTTTCGAGAGTTCTGACGAACCAAGTAACGCGAGCTGCTTTAAGCTCTTCACAGAGCGAATGCGGTATCCATCGGGAAAACAACTTTTTTACACCTAGTTGTTCATGCAAGATTATTTGTATTTGACTCATACCAATGTCTAAAGTTGCCTGAATTTCGCGGTATGTCACATGTCGATCTTCCTCAATCAGCTTACGCACAGCATCAACGTTTTCTTGGTTGACTGCAGTTTTTGGACGACCTTGACGGGGACATCACTGAGCTTGACACGTCCACGTTGAAATTCAGCAAACCAGCGATAAATTGTGGTTTTGGATAGGGCTTCATCACCAAATGCAGAAATCATCCTGTCAACACACTGTTTTTGTGTTAAACCACTTCGTAAGTCATAATAAATCATCGCTCTTGAATTTTCTCGAGTCAATTCCATTTTCTCAACGACTAAACAAGTTTGACAAAACCTTGTGACAAGACCGAGAATCTTTTTTTAAATAAATAAATGGTATTCGATTTTTAAAACCAAGGAGTTTTCAATTAAAAAGATATTAATATGACAGGAACAGTGGAAATATTCCATTCCCGATACTTTTAGTGCA